TAGACCATCCTGGTTAACAGGGTTAAACCCTGTCTCTACCAAAAACACAAAATATTAGCCAGCCATAGTCTGAGCTACTCGGGAGGCTGAGACAGGAGAATCGCATGAACCCAGGAGGCGGAGTTTGCAATGAGCGAAGATCATGCCACTGCACTCCAGCCTGGGTGATAGAGCGAGACTCCATGTCGAAAATAATAAATAAAAATAAATTTAAAAAATAAATACAAGAATTAGCCGGGCGTGATGGTGTGCACCTCGTCCCAGCTACTTAAGAGGCTGAGGTGGGAGGATTGCTTAAGCCCAGGAGACTGAAGTTGCAGTGAGCTGAGATTGCACCACCGCATTCCAGCCAGGATGACAGTCAGCCCCTGTTTTCTTGGTTTTGTTTTGTTTTTTTAAAGTGAAGAGTTTACTGCATTAACTTACATCTCAGTGAGCAAACAGGGACCGAGAATCTGTGAGCTCTGCAAGACGGAAGGTTTATTATCATTTCCATGGAGACCAAAGGGAAGACTTGACATGCACCAGGTCCTATAGCTGGCTGCTTCTCAGGGTCACCACTGGAATCCACGACTCCTGGCTCTGATCACGGGGCTTCTCCATTGTCTTTTACAGTCACCTAAAAGCTGAAGGGTCTCAGGTGAAAAGGATGAATGAAAATCAATGAATGTCACTTGTTTCTTTAAATGAACATAACCTTGTATTCTTGGTCCTCTCTCTCTAAGGAGAATGGTGTGTAGTGCAATGCACACACATTTTATTGAACCACTTGTGAAGGAAAAATAAATCTTGGGACTATAAAATCACGAAGCCAAAGGTAAAAGTCAAGCTGCGAACTGTGTCAGGCAAACCTGCCTCCCATTTTATTCCTAAATAACATAGCTACAAAGTTAGAAAGCCACATACCTCCCTCACAATTCACCCATGAGGCAATTCTTTGTGGGCCTCAAGATCCTTACCCTAAAACGGTTCTGCTGAATTTCACCCTGGCAATGCACATCGATAGCTGATCTTCACAGGCATGGGACAGAAAGTCATCCCTCTGCCCACCTGAGATAAATGCTTATCTGATTGCCTTGCCACACTATTGTTAATGAAAATGCAGATTCACTAAGCCAGACTAAGGCATGAGTGACTATTCCTCTACCTCTACCCTTTTACGTACAAGTTGTGTATTCAGTGAAAGGCTGATCAAAGACCCAGAGGCACACAAACTTTCATCTCTTATCTCCCTGTGACCTGGAAGCCTCCACTTCGGTTGTCCCTCGCTTCTGGACAGAACCAATGTACATCTTATACCTACTGATTAATGTCTCGTCTCTCCCTAAATAGATAAACAAAGCTGACCCCAACTATATTGGGCACATGTCCCCAGGATCTCCTGAGGCTGTGTCACCGGCATGTCCTTAACCTTGGGAAAATAAACTTTTAAAACATTTTTATGGGCCGGGTGCATGTGGTTCAAGCCTGTAATCCCAGCACTTTGGGAGGCTGAGGTGGGTGGATCACAAGGTCAGGAAATTGAGACCATCCTGGCCAAAACAGTGAAATCCCATCTCTACTAGAATACAAAAAAATTGGCCGGGTGTGGTGGCATGTGCCTATAGTCCCAGCTACTCAGGAGGCTGAGGCAGGGGAATCGCTTGAACCCAGGAGGTGGAGGTGGCAGTGAGCCGAGATTGTGCCACTGTACTCCAGACTGGCAAGAGAGTAGACTTCGTCTCAAAAAAAAAAATCTTAAATTTTATTTATATATTTATTTTTGAGACAGGGTCTGGCTTTCTTGCCCAGGTTGGAGTGCAGTGGCAGGATCTCCGCTCTCTGTAATCCCTGCCTCCCAGGTTCAAAGGATTCTTGTCCCTCAGCCTCCTGAGTAGCTGGGATTACAGACGTGCACCAACACACCCAGCTAATTTTTGTCTTTTTGGTAGAGATGAAGTTTTGACCAGGTTGGTCTCCAATTCCTGACCTCAAGTGATCCATCGGCCTTGGTCTTCCAAACAGCAGGAATTATAGGCAGGAGCCACTTTGCCTGGTCACAAAATAAACGTTCTAACTTAATTGAGACCTGTCTCAGACATCCTCACAGTCCCGAGATCTGGGTGGGGTTGCTGCCTCTTGGGGTTCACTTCTCGCTCAGGGCCTGTTTGCCCTCACCTTCCTCTGCCCCAGCCTCAGGGAATTAGGCTGAGCTGGGTGTAAACAGAGGTCCCCTGCCCCAGGCCCTGTGTTTTCCACAGCTGGAGACATGGCCACCCTGGGACCTGCTCCCAGGACAAGTGCAGCCCAGGCAGCCTCCCTCCTCTGAGCTCCCGCTGCAGCCACACTGTCTCCCTCCCGCGGGCTCTCACACACTTTACTTTCTGCCTCTGTATCGTCCATCCAGCCTCCCTGGGTAGGTATTCAGCCCTGTGTGAGGGCTGATTCTCTGATGATCTTGACTCCCCACAGTGCCTTGGGTGCGGGGGAGGCCAGGCAGTATGGGTGGGCTCTCTTCGGATGGGAACCAGGTGGGCGATGGAGTGGCAGGTTGCCCACACAGGGGGCTCTCCGAGTTTCCCCCTTGGGTTCTGGTCCTGATGTGGGATCTTCTGCCCTTTCTGAGCTGGGTCCCAACTCACCTGGCTGTCTCTGTGGCTTTCTTCACCTGGCTCAGTGGCTGTTCTTCCATGATTTTGCATAGATCCTGCCCTTTAACTCCTGGAACCTGCTCATGAGGCAGCTGAGCCTCACAATGAGATCCTCCCGGCCAGAGCTGATGCAGCAAGCCTAAGGGGATGCCTTGTATGGATGCTAGTGAGATGGGTCAGCAAAAGCAGGTGGGGCCCCGCAGTCCACACCCTGGAGAATGCCTTGGAAACACTGTCAGAAAAATGTATTTACAGGTATAACTATTTTTTAAATTCTGAAGTTAATATATTAGATGTTTTGGTCAATATATTCATTTGTCTCATTCTTTTTAACAAAAGCATAGTATTTTCTTTCATGGTTGCACTATGGCTCATTTTACTATTGCCTTATTTGGATAGTTGCATTTGTTTTTGAATTCTTACACACTGTAGCAAATCACCTTGTAGGAATTGTGTATCCAGACAGCCATGTGCACTACTTAAAAGCAGAATTGTGAAGTCAGTAGTTAATTATTTTAAAATTGTGTTTAGATATTGACAAATTGTCCCCTAAAAGAACATTGTAACAAGTTTAGTCTCACTCCAAGAACACACAAGCGCATTCTACACCCTTGCTACTCTGAACTTTCATTCTTTGCTAGTCTAAGGAGTAAACAATTGTACATCTCACTGTTGTATTTTCGATTTCTCGACATTATTAGAGGATTTTCAAGGGTCTGGGAATTTTCTGAGTTTAGATGATCTGCAGACCTCAGATTAGACAGCCGGGGAGACGATGGCAGGGAAGACCGAATTCCCAGCTGTGCACTTGGAAACCGTGGTCAGCTGGGGCCATTCCCTGTCACCCCCATGCCTGTGAATGGTTAGCTGCAGGTCCAGTCCTCAGTAGTCCACGGCCAGCGCCTGTCATGCAGGACTACACAGCCCCTCGGGAGGCCCTGGGCAAGCTGACCTAGGCCCTGAGCAAGGAGGGAAGGTGAAAGAGGAAGGGAAAGACGGACAGGTGTACGGTGTTGTTAGGGGTCAAGGTTGGATATAGCAGAGGGAGGAGAAGAGGGTGGGAGAAGAGGATTCAGGATTCTATTGGTTTGATGAGAAATGGCATAACTATAAGACAGTCCCATTCATGATAATTACAAAGAATAAAATACACCCTTGACAAAACTGGGAAGCTGGAGCCCAGGAGGTGGAGGCTGCAGTGAGCCCTGTGCTCCAGCCTGGGTGACAGAGTGAAACCCTGTCTCAAAAAAAAAAAAAAGCAAAAACAAAAACACCTAAAGAATTGTACATTACCTTTTGTCTAGGAGGCGACTTTCATAAGGTTATAATCAATGACAAAATAAATATGTCAATAGATTAAATTTCTTAACATTAAAATTTCTGCACATGAAAACATTTGACCAAATAAAAAGGCAAACAAGAAAGCAGGAACCTATGATGTGCATTTGAGAAAGTGCATGGGCAGGACGCATGTCTCAATAGGCAGATGCAAGTTGTAAACCATCAGTTTGAAGAGAGAATCAAAAAGCTAATAAACATGTGAAACCTAAGTCCAAAAATAAGAAAATGCATATTTAACTTAATTAATGTCTTCCTTGTCAGAGAAAACAAAAGACCAAGCACATCAGATCAAGATTAATGAAGTGTTGCTGGAACCAAAAGTGTGCATGTGAATGTGATGTGCACAAGGGTGAATGTGTGTGTGCAGAAAATAATGCCTCTGCACATTAGCACAGTAATTCTATTTCTTTCAGGAAGCCACCCTATGACATTGGTCGCAAAAGTTGTCCAAGACTGATTTTCAAATGCATACACAGACTCTGGGCTCTAAGCCCATCTTGGGACTGCAGACTCCCTTCCTCACCTTCAGAGCAGCACTCCATGCTGAGTGTTGGGAGTGGACCAGACTGGAGTCAAACATCAGGGAACGGGGCACTGGCCTAGAGAACAGGAGTCAGTGTGGGGCACACCTGGGCCTCCTAGAGCTGTGGGTGAGATGGAGAGTGGGTCCTTCAGGGCAAGGGCAGCAGAAAATGGGTCTCTGAGGTGCCTGCAGGGCTGAGCAACCTGGGTCCACTGATATGGATGCTGGGAATAGCTGGTGTCCCTCTCCCCAAAGGGACACCAGACAGGTAAGAGATAGGGAGGAGATGTGAATTCCAGGGCCCAAGAACCTGGCAATTTAACATCCAGGGAGTCATGGGCAGGAACCTCCCCCAACCCATCCCCCTATACCCCCAACCCCGCCAGGCAGGCCAAGCCTGAAGGCAGAGAGGGGACAAGTAAGGAGTCCCAGCAGGAATGAAGCTCTGGCCTCCTGTCACTCAAAGCTGTTTCACAGGAAGAGGAAAGGATGGAAATAAACAAACGCCGCACCTCTTTTTATATAAGCTTTCATGTTTATTTTGGACAAAATTCATGAACATATGAGCTTTTCATATATAACCAGGCGTTACGTGCTATTTGGACTGGGTATAAAGCAAAACCAAAACAAACAAATTAACACTAAAAACTCCCAAAAATTTCATGTTGTCAGGAAGCTTACTTTAAAAGAATAAGCTTAACCAACACTGATAAGGCTGATATTCTAAATACATCTTCAAGAAAGGCCTCTGCACAAGGGACATGGGAGCTGAGACCAGACTGGCTCCCTCTGAGCTCTGATGCCGAGTGTCCTGCACCAAAGGCCTAGGAAAGGCAAAGACCAGGAGGCAGCAGCACCCTGTGCCTTCCAGAAGTGCAGGGGACAACACTCAGATGCCAGATGGAAGTGGGAGAGGACGGAAGTGCCAAGACCAGAAGGGCCACCCCTTCCCAAAGATCAATGGACACAACACTCTGAACGTGCTGAAATCTTCAGGAATTTTAACTGTCCCAGCCAAACCAGTCCCGGAACAGGACAACATGCAATGCCTTGAGACGACAAACACGGACACTCCTAGAATGACTACAACCGTAAATTATCCTACCACGACTGCACTACTGTGGAGAAGAGTTTGCTGGAAAGAGGCTAACATGATGACTGACGTTTTTAAGTAAAATAATAGAATGGGACACAAGAACAATGCATTAATGCGTCAGCCATTCTAGGTCCCGCTGTCACAGTGTTTAAGAACTGGTATTTCTGAGATGCATCAGATGCTTACAAAGGGACTAAGCTCCTCAAATAGGGAATCTGTACCCTAAAATGCTGCCCAGGAGCTCAGGGTCACAGAGCACCAGAAGCGAGAGGGGCTGCCCATGCCTGAGTCAGCAACCATTTCACACCCTTCCCAAACACTGTCCACTCTTCCCTCTCAATGCCAAGGCAGATGCTCAGGCAGATGGACACCCACTCTGCCCTGTGCCCAAAGGATGCCCAAGATTCACTCATGTTCAGCTGTACGGGCACTTGACAGAGGAGCTATTCGCAGTCTCAGATCTCACCCAGTTCTCACTGTCCTCATCTGCTGTGGACAAGCAGGAAGATGCATTCTCAAGCCTGTCCCAGCAGGACCGACCAGACACATGGCTTCCTGTAGATCCCACACTCTCCAAAATTCCGGGCATATGTAAACATCTACTTATAAATAAATAAACAAATATTTATTTACAAATAAATACTGCTATATACCTCTAAAATTATCAAATAAGACAGACTGGCACCTTAAGAAGTTGCCAGCCATCAAACCCTGGTCCAGTCACAGGGCACCGGAGGAGACCTGGAACACAGTCACTGCCTCTCACAGAGGGAGGATTTTTCCCTCCATCACTACTTATATTTCTAGTCATTTTTGACTGCTGGTTTGCATACAGGCAACACAGGTAAACAGCCTAATAAGTGCATTTGCTGGAGTTTTTTCATGCTTACGTCATTATAAAAAAATCAGAAAATAGAACGATGTATATCACATAAAGCTAAGCAATACAAATTATTCGCCACTTAAGGTGGAGGTAAGCCGCAATAATCATGTCAATAATCATGTCTTAAGATGATCATGTCTTAAAGCTCAAAACTCGAAGTCGAACCCTCACAAGTCCACATACTCATGACTTACTACGGGGCTATGTATTGACAATCGCACCATTAAGTCAAAAATATTGTAAACTAAAAATATAGGTAATAGCCAGATCATCCACGTTTAAAGTTAAAAAAGTATAAGGCAAACCATTGTCGCTGTGCGGCATCTGTAATTAGATGTAATTAAATGCACACACCAGCAAAGATGGAGCCTACAATATAAGAAATAAAGACTTGTCTCAGGAAGAAGAACTGAAAATAATGACATCTTAAAACCACTGCTTTCTTTTTAAATGAGACTGAGTTTCACTGTGTTGCCCATGCTGGCCTCGAACTCCTGAGCTCAAGTGATTCACCCGCTTCAAACTCCCGAATTGGAGGGATTACAGGTGTGAGGCAATGCATGTGGCCTAAAACCACCCTTAACATGCAATCGTATAACCCTATGCCACCAAGAATCTTATCTAAATCTCCGAAATTTGCTTATCACGGTCAATATTCCATAAAAATTACTCCAAGTGCATTGACGAAGTTGTAAGACCGCAGGTAAGTTGCACCATATTGGATAGCAGTTTGCTGAGGCAGTGTATCCTCCAGGCTGCTTCCCTTTGTGGGAGAAAAGATAAATGAGGGAAGTTCTGGTTTCCTAAAGAGATTCTTTCACAGGTAGGACGTAGCATAGCCTTCGTCACCTCCTTCATAGAGAAGCTTTTCTGCGCCCACCAGTTGGTCCTGAATTGTTTCCTTTGCATGTCCTTCTTCCAGTGTTGCCGAGGCATCCAGCAAGGTGTTGACTGAGAAGAGAGAAGAGGAGACTGAGGGTCTTGATGCTCCAGGGACAATCAGCCCAGGACTGGCATAGGATCCCCTTTTTCCAGCAGTGAATGCTCCAGAAGAGCTCTCTCAGCTATGGGGACAGCAGGTAGGACATTTTCCCTATTCCCTGCCCTCCTGCTGTGTCTCCAGGCACAAAACACTTACTCTCAGTGGGGTCATCGTCATTCACTGGAACCTGCAACCTCCTCCTCTGACACCCTTCGGTTTCTGCCTGTCCCTGTAACACACAGTGGGGAAGGCTGTGATCAGTCAGGAGTCCTGCAGTCCAGTACTGACCCCAACCACCAGCCAGCCCTGACACCTGCAGCACTTCCCCTCTCGGGTCTCCATGGAGATGGAGAAAACCCTCTAGTTCTCCACAGCTCTCAGGCTCTGTGACAGTGGGTCATTGAGACATAAGTGACATGCGGTAAATGCTCACTGTGCAAGTGTTCTGCCCAGCTCTGACTACTGTATACACTGGTGTAATCATCCCCTGATCAAGACATAGAACATTCCCACCACCCCAGAATCAATCAACGCCCACCCACCTTCACAGGAGATGATCACTTCCTTACAGAATTTTTACCAGCAGAAGTCTCAGCAGAGGACTATATATGAGGGCACCCAGGAAAACTTAACAAAATTATTTACTCCAAGACCATAAATGATCTTGGATCATTAATACTGTACCAGATCAATAGGGTAATTAAATGAAACATCAGTATCTATGGAGGCTGGAAAGACATTTGGTAAAATTAAATACCTATTCTGGTTTTCTTTTCAAAATGTTTGAGAATAGGAGGCTGCGATCTTGATGAGAATTTCTATATGAAACCAAAAGTGAATGCCATTCCTAAGGGTGACATGTTGGAGGCCTTCCCCAGAAATCAAATCAGGACCCAAACCCTGCCTTCCTAAGCACAGCTGAACATTGTTCTGAAAGGTCTGGCCTAGGAAACAAGATGGGAAACAAAAATGAGGCAGGACTCTTGGAAGGGGGCAGACACAATAATCGTTATTTTCGATGTCATTTAAAATCCCTAAGCATGAAACTACAGCATTGAAATATAAATGTATGTCTGGAGGAACGTTAAAAACATAGCAGATGCAATAAGTTTCTAATGGAATGACAGGGCTATCTAACTCATAATGGATACAAAATACTCAACAGCCATGAGAAGAAACAGGAATAGCTTCTTTAAAGAGAAACACTAATCAAAACTACCATCTCACGCCAATTAGAAGGGCGATCATTAAAAAAATCTGGAGACAACAGATGCTGGAGAGGATGTGGTGAAATAGGAACACTTTTACACTGCTGGTGGGAGTGTAAATTAGTTCAACCATTGTGGAAGACAGTGGCGATTCCTCAAGGCCTTAGAAATAGAAATTCCATTTGACCCAGCATTCCCATTACTGGGTATATATCCAAAGGATTATAAATCGTTCTACTATAAGGACACATGCACACGAATGTTCATTACAGCACTGTTTACAATAGCAAAGACCTGGAATCAACCCAAATGCCCATCGATGATAGACTGGACAGGGAAAATGTGGCACATATACACCATGGAATATTATGCAGCAATCAAAAACGATGAGTTCGTGTTCTTTGTAGGGACATGGAAGAAACTGGAGAACATCATTCTCAGCAAACTGACACAAGAACAGAAAATGAGATACCACATGTTCTCACTCATAGGTGGGTGATGAACAAAGAGAAAACATGGACACAGGGAGGGGAGCACTACACACTGGCGTCTGTTGGGGGGAATTGGGGAGGGACAGTGGGGAGTGGGGAGTTGGGGAGGGATAGCATGGGGAGAAATGCTGCGTATAGGTGAGGGGGAGGAAGGCAGCATATCACACTGCCACGTGTGTACTGATGCAACTATTTTGCATGTTCTTCACATGTACCCCAAAACCTAAAATGCAATAAAAAATATATGAAAAAAAGAGAAACACTAATCACAACTCAGTTACAATAAAATACTTGACTTTAAATGCTATCTTCTTCAATAAGAAAATACTGATATTGGATATGAAGTATTTCTAGATTAATTTTTAATTTTAAAGTGAATTGATTAAAATGCCACTGAGTATTTTTGAGAGGGTAAGATGGAGGAAATCTTATAATTCTAAATTTTATCTGGGTAAAATAATAAATTTTGAAAAAGTATGGAAATGGTGTTTGCTCTTTTGGATATTAAAAAACACTAAAAGGTTCTGACTGGAACATGCCTAAAAATCATAAGAGCCATCTATGACTAACTTACAGCCAACATCATGCTGAATGGGCAAAAGTTGGAAGCATTCCCCTTGACAACTGGAGCAAGGCAGGAATGCTGACTCTCACCACTCATATTCAACATAGTACTGGTAGTCCTAGCCAGAGCACTCAGGCAAGAGAAAGAAATAAAAGGCATCCAGATATGAAGAAGTCAAACCATCTCTCTTCACAGATGACATGAGTCTATACCTTGACAACCCTAAAGACTTCACCAAAATGCTCCTGGAACTGATAAATGACTTCAGCAAACTTTCATGATACAAAATCAATGTATAAAAATCAGTAGCATATCTATATACCAATAACGTTCAGGCTGAGGACCAAATAAAGAACACAGTCCCATTAACAATACACAGACACACACACACACACACACACACACACACACACTACCTAGAAATATCTCTACCCAAGGATTTAAAAGATCTCTAGAAGGACAATTACAAAACACTGCTAAAAGAAATTATAGATAACATGAACAAAAGGAAATCTTTCCATGCTCATGGATTGGAAGAGTTAAGATAGTTAAAATAGTCAAACTGCCCAAATCCATCTACAGATTTAATGCTATTCTTACCAAACTACCCATGTCATTCTCCACAGAATTGGATAAAGGTATTCTTACATTCATGTGGAGTCAACAAAGAGCATGAATAGCCAGAACAATCCTAAGCAAAATGAAAGCTAGAGGCATCACATTACCTAATTTCAAGCTATACTCTAAGGCTACCATAGCCCAAACAACATGATATATAGTTAATGGAACAGAATAGAGAACGCAGAACTAAAGCTGCACAATCTTGGATTGTGCAGCCATCTAATCTTTGATAATGCAGGCAAAAATAAGCAATGCTGAAAGGACTCCCGATATGGTTTGGCTGCATTCCCGCCTAAATCTCATCCTGAATTGTACCTCCCACAATCCCCACCTGTCATGGGAGGTACCTGGTAGGAAGTAATTGAATTATGTGGATGAGCTTATCCTGTTCTATTCTTGTTTAGTGAATAAGACTCACAAGATCTGATGGTGTTATAAAGAGCAGTTTCCCTGCACACACTCTCTTGTCTGCTGCCATGTAAGATGTGCCTTTCCTCATCCTTCATCTTACACTATGATTGTGAGGCCTCCCCAGCCATGTGGAACTATCAGTCCATTAAATCTCTTTTTCCTTATAAATTAGTCTCAGGTATTTCTCCTTGGCAGTATGAAAATGGACTAATACAACTCCCTATTCAACAGATAATGCTGGGATATTTGGCTAGCCACATACAGAGGAAAGAAAACTAGACTCCTTCTTTTCACCACATACACAAACTAACTGAAGGTGGATTATATGTTTAAAAGTAAGACCACGAACTATAACAACCCTAGAAGAAAACCTAGAAAACACCCTTTCTGGACTTCAGTCTTGGCAAAGAATTTATGATTAAGCCCTCAAAAGCAATGCACCAAAACCAAAAATTGTCAAGTGGGATTTAATTAAACTGAAGACCTTCTGCCCAGCAAAAGAAACTATCACCAAAAATAAACTATCAACAGGCGGGGTGCAGTGGTTCACACCGGTAATCCCAGCACTTTGGGAGGCCAAAGTAGGCGGATCACCTGAGGTGAGGAGTTTGAGACCAGCATGGCCAACATGAAAAATCCCCATTTCTATTAAAAATACAAAAATTAGACAGGCATGGTGCCTGCAATCCCAACTGCTAGGGAGGCTGAGGCAGGAGAATCACTTGAACCCGGGAGGTGGAGGTTGCAGTGAGCCCAGATCATGCAGTGAGCTGAGATCATGCCACTGCACTCTAGTTGGGTGAGAGAGCTAGACTCCGCCTCAAAAAAGAAAGTATGAACAGAATAAACAGACAACCTACCGAATGGAAGAAAATACTTACAAACTATGCATGTGACAAAGATCTGCTATTCAGGAGGTGCATGCAACATCGGGTACTCGTGAACATAAAGATGGCAACAACAGACGCTGGGGACCACTAGGTGGGGGAGGGAGGGAGGGTACGAGGGGATGAAAACTGTTGGGTACTATGCCCACTATGACAGCACCTTTCTGCAGTATGGTAGATGTGTAGCTATGCATTTACCACTTTCAAAAAATGTGCAGGCTAGGTGCGGTGGCTCACGCCTGTAATCCCAACACTTTGGGAGGCCAAGGCGGGTGGATCACTAGGTCAAGAGATCGAGACCATCCTGGTCAACATGGTGAAACCCCGTCTCTACTAAAAATACAAAAAATTAGCTGGGCACGGTGGCGCGTGCCTGTAATCCCAGCTACTCAGGAGGCTGAGGCAGGAGAATTGCCTGAACCCAGGAGGCGGAGGTTGCGGTGAGCTGACATAGCGCCATTGCACTCCAGCCTGGGCAACAAGAGCGAAACTCCTTCTCAAAAAAAAAAAAAGTGCTATGTGGCTGGGGGCACTGGCTTATGCCTGGAATCCCAGCACTTTGGGAGGCCAAGGTGAAAAGATCACTTGAGGATAGAAGTTTGAGACCAGCCTGGGCAGCACAGCAAGATCAGATCTCTACAAATTACAAAACCCATGTCCAATGTGATTCAGCACCATGGAGTAATTGTGCACTTTTTTGGTTTGTTTCCTTCCCTTTGTATACTTCTCTTCATTCAAAAACCACCACCATGTGGTATAGCCGTAGGAAAGGAAGAAGATGGGATGTAAGTGATCCTTGTCCACCCATTTGAAAAGAGATCAAAGAGGAACCAAAAGCAGACAAAACTAGAGGAATCATTTCTTAAACAGACTTGGAGGAGGGAGACGGTGACTCAGAACAATTCAGGGAGTTCCTCACTTCACACGGCATCACAAAAGAAATGGCACCTAGGTTCCATTGGTGTATGGTACAAACCAAATCGTTTTTTAAAAGTCCATAGGAAATTAGATAGGATCATCTTGTTTTATCTTGAAGGAAAGAACTTTTGACACTTAAAAAATAATAATAATATGTGTCCAGATTTCACACCTACTCAATATCGTATCAAAACTGATGAACTGATGTGAACATCTGGATGTGTGTGTTTGTGTGATACAAAAGCACTTCTTTGCACTGACTCAGAAATCCTACTTCTTCCCAGAAGCCTCCTTACATACTTAATCAGAAATCTGGACAAAGATTTACTATGAAATATGTTCAGTGTAATAATTATTTTGGAGTAAATTTAAAGCTGCTGTTTCAAGCAGGAGCTCCCTGAGTTCTGTTAGGAGCACACAGTGGAGACCATGCAGCCCTCAGTCAGTCATCAACAAACCCTGTGACCCCCCACTCTGTGCCTGTGGAGCTCCAGGTGCTGGGGACACAGCCAGGATAGGACAGGGAGTAAGAAGCAGATGTCCTGCAGACTGGCACAGTCGCCACCTCAGTGCAGCTGCTCCATCCCCTGCAGTCTCCTGTCTCCCAAAAGCTCCATGTCTCCCTAGGCCAGGAGAGCAGAGGCACTGCCCTCTCCCCCATCTATGAAGCCTTGTGTAGGCAGCAGGCCAGGCATGGCACAGTCCATCCTCAACTCACCAGCAGACACTGTGGTTCCTCTGGCGACTGTACAGTCACACCTGTTAACTCTCTTAGCTCCTGACCTTCGATTTCCTGCTCAGGGACCTGGGTGTGCTGTGATTCTCCATTGCTCAGGTCCTCGTTGCAGACATTGTCCTCAGCCTCAGGACTTCGTGAGGGACATGAACGCCAGAAAAAGACCTTTGGAAGGCAAACCACCCACTCAAGTCCACACCCAGGGCTCAGCTTCAGGGTCCCCAGCACACAGCTGAACCTGTCATCCCCAATCCCTTCCAATGAGGTCCAGGGCAGGTGGGTCACCCCATCCCCAGGATGCAGGCTGTGTGTGATGGTGTCACCCAGGCTGTAGGAAGGACAGGGCTGCAGCATAGCCGGCCGGTCTGTATGGTGCTCAAAATGGCCATGTGTTCCCTACAGTCAGCCCAGAGACCCCAGGTCATGTCAGAGACTCAGGGCCACTGTGAGGACAAGGGATTGTGCCCACCCAGACTCCACAGTAGATGGGAAGCACTTCGTAAACTCATGATGCCCCCAGTTTTGGAGAAACCAACTCACTCTGTCCACATGATCAGGATCCCCTCCAGCACCTGGAAGAGAAGGAGTCTCCTTAGCAGGTGGGGAGGGGCACATTCAGCACCTCCATCCCAGAGGGCAGTAGGGGCAGGGGCAGGCTGGGGGCTGGGACACCGGACAACAAGCCCCAGGCCTAGGGACAGGAATGGGACCTTGCAATTAAGGGACACTTGAGAACGGGGATGAGAAGGAGAACTAGAGTAAAACAAACACGTGGAAAATCTCAGTTTTCTGCTCTGTGTTCTGCTCTGACCAAGGCTGAATAACTCCAGTGACCACTTCTCATCCTGACCCTTGTCACCCAGTTGAGGAGCTGACTGCCAACTGCCAGGCTGGGCCTGAAGACGGGAGCAACTGGCCCTGCCCTCCTGGACTTGGCTGGGAGATGAGGGACCCCTCACTCTTGGAGAGGGACTGATGAGACCAGGGTCCTGGGGGGTGCCTGGGATGTGGGGATGGGGTGATCACAAGGAGTAAGAAAGAGCCAGGCCAGAAATACTTAGACTAGGGGCAGGGACAGGCATTTCTGTCTGTGGGAACAGGGTGGGAGAGGGCAGGGCAGAGAGCGCCCAGTGCCCCGCCCTCAGCCAGCACCTACCTGGGCAGTTGCCTTTCAAGCAAGAAAGGACTTTCTTCCACAATGAAGTCTTCCAAACAAGCCCAGCCACAACCAGAGTGACCACTAGAAGTGAGACCACTCTGAACCACGGTAGATATAAGACCACTGTGATGACTGTGGTGAGAAAGGTAAAGGCAAGAGTCCTTAGGCTGGTGGTCACTGTCCCCTCTGCTGCTGGGGTTTTCCCAGTGGAATTGGCAGCTGATTCGCTGATGCATTTGATGTCACTCCAGGGCGTACAATCACTGACCTTGACCATCCCTCTGGGGCACCTGGATACACACAGGGAGGTAGAAGGGGGACTCCTAAAGGACAGCTGGCCAGGTGGCAAAAAAGAGAAGCTACCCTCCCTGCCCAGTGTCCCTGAGAAGGCATCAGGGGAGGGACAGGCTCCTTGTTTCTGCAGGGCACCCCCCTCCTCGCCCCGCAATGCTCCCTGGTTGGGGCTGGGGAAGGGTCTGAGCATGCGCACTTCAGCCCCTCAGCCTCCCTGCTCTGGGGTCAGAGCTGAAGCTCCAGGAGCCTTCTGTGCTGGGCACACACTGAGCTTCCCTGGGCCGCAGGGGAGGCCTGTGTTAGGAGGAGCCGCACTCCAGGGAAAATCACAAGCCCATGTGGTCACCAGCTGAGTCATGTCCTCCAGTTAACTCACAGAACAAGTGAGCCCCCGCCCTTCCCTGTCTTCTCGTTCCTCCCAGTCACAGCAACCACTGGAGGGCCAGAGAAGAGCAAATTACGCTTGGTCCCTAAAACCTAAGTAGGAAAAAGAAGGCCTTATTGAGAAATCAGGGAACAGGGTGAGGCCGGCTGGTGGGTTCAGCTCTTCATGGGAACTTAAGGGAGCTCCACCCCTGACTTTTGTGGGCCGTGGACACGTTTGTCTTTATGGGTCCCTGTCTGCATAAAAAATATTAAAAATTACAGTTTTTTAAAACCAACTTGGAAAAGGTACAAATATAAGCCAGCCTGGATTTAAGTGTCTTCTTCTGATTCCAAAAGGAAATCACATTTCCTACATCCCCTGAAAAGTATCAAGGGACCTGGAAATTTGCCTCTCGTGCCCAGTGAACACTTCAGCCTGGCCAAAGGGACTCATGCTGGGGAGGAGTGGGAAGGGGCTGCTGCAGGGGGCAGGGGTGAGGAAAGGCAGATGGACCAGGAGGGGCCACCGCAGGCTCAGGAGACCCCACAAACTCAGGGATGCCTCATGGGGATGGAGGCTCCATGGGGTCAGGGGAGAGAAAGGGGTACCAGGTGACTCTGGTCTTCTCGGGTTCCTGAAAGCTGTCGGGAGCCCTTGGCTGCTGTCTCACCCTGTGTGGCATTTCTCGCACATCTCAGTGAAACTGCAATTCCGGAAAGTTCCTGGCTTGCACCGACACTCTGTGTCTCTGGTCGTGGTGCAGGGACTTAGCTCTTCTTCATCTGACGACAGAGCATAAGGTTTTGGCAATGAATTTCCCTGACATGTCCCTTGACCCTTCCTCACCACCCCAAACCCCTCCCACTCTACTCAACTAAGTTAGCCAAGGAGTTCTGAGGGCTGGTTCTACACCAGCACACTAGGGATTCATATAGGACACCCACCCTTCAGCTGTCACCAAAACTCAGAGTCATACAAAAGGACCATGATTCATTAATTATTACATCAGATTAGGGGAATAGCATCATTTAGATCACATGGTCAGTAGCAAGGGAGGCCTAGGGGCATCACCTGAGGGACTCTGCCAGGAGATGAGCACTGAAGTGACTTCCCCAAAGCCCCAGCCTGCTAGGGAGGAGGAAGGGGCCTGAGAACCTAAAGGCTGAGTGAGGCCCAGCACCTGCCAGGAGTCCAGAGCCCAGAAAAGAGAGCCTGGCCCTGGAGCAGCCCATGCCACTGCTGAAACCCAGTCCTATCCATTCAGCCAGGCCTTCTCTGTGCTGTAATCATGCCACTGCCCTCTTCCAGCTGATAGTTTAGAAGATTTCCCAGCCAGCTGGCATGCCTTATAAAAAAGATATCTTTCTCTTTTTTGTTTTTATTCAACCAAAGTCATAATCATGGAACAGGGTATGATGAACACAAAGCTGGGCTGAAACTTGGTCCCTGACTCACATCGGCTACAACTCCCACCTCATCACTCCACACGCCACCTCTGGGCAAGGGGTCCACACATTCTGTACCTGATTTACAAACTGTACATGGGCGGCAGGCAAGCAAATTATTGGAGCCATTGGTGTAATCCACACCCTCTGTGCACCCGATACAGGCTCCGTTATGTTCCGATCTATGAGATCCTAGGAAGGGAGAGAAAAGCCAATGAATATCCACAACACTATTTTTCAATATGTAATCAATATAAATCTCAGAAATATTTGACTTCTTTTTTGTTTTTGGAGACAGAGTTTCACTCTTGGTGCCCAGGGTGGAGTGCAGTGGCACAATCTCAGCTCTCTGCAACCTCCGCCTCCCATGTTCAAGGGATTCTCCTGCCGCAGCCTCACAAGTAGCTGGGATTACAGGCACCCACCACCATGCCCAGCTAACTCTTTGTATTTTTAGTAGAGACGGTGTTTCACCATATTGGCCAGGCTGGTCTTGGACTCCTGACCACAGTTGATCCACCCGCTTCGGTTTCCCAAAGTGCTGACAATACAAGCATGAGCCACCATGCCACAACACACCATGCCACAATACACCATGCCCAGTCTACTGTGTTTTTTTAAAACAATAAAATAAAATAACAAAATAAAATCCAACCTCTTCTACATGTCATCCATGCTGGCCCACCTGACCTGTCTGCTGTCCACTCACTACAGTGGCCCTGTCTTTGCTCAGTATCCCCCAGCCCCTGCACCCTGGGCCTCTCATTCCTAGGGAGGCTGCTCAGGAGCACTATTTCTGGCTCTCTGCTACGCTAGCCCTGTCCAGCTTTGGATATTGACCAACATCACCATCCCTGAGAGGTCCCACCAACCTCGTCTCTGTCTTACCCATCACTTAATTATTCTTCATGGCTCGTATCTGGAATTTCTAATTGTTATGTTGGTCTGTGTGTCATAATACTACCCAGAAAAAAGGTTCCATGAAGACAGAGCCTTTTATAACCACCATTAGCATGGTGCCTAACTCACAGAAATCATCCAACCTATCCCTATGGAATAAAAAACAAGAGAGTGCAGGAAACAGAAGTCTGGATGCACACAGAGACAAGGGCATGATAAGATGTGTTATCAGTCTTACATTGTGCCTTCCAGCTAGCACTATAGACCCAGGATCCTGGCCCACCTCCACAGACTCTGTCTCCATGTCTGCCCTAGTGCCCAGTCAGACCCCATAAACTCATGCTCCAGGCCCTTCCCTGTGACCTAGTGATGGAACCCATCACAGCACCTGGCTGACATCTGCAAACATAAGTTTAAGGTCCACTCCAGTGCCGGTTCAGCCCCCATGGACACAGGCCTCAAGTCATCTCTCTGGATACAGCCTCTGACCACCCTTGAACCACACCACATGGCCTGCCCAGAATCTGTGAACAGGCTGCCTGGTGAAGGGCATTCCATCACAAAGCCAGTCTGTAAAGACTGGACTAAGTCCCTGCTGCGTCGAAGCACACATTCCAACACATTGCCAGAGGCTGCTGAGCAATCAGGGAACCATGACAGCACCAAAGGAACAAAATAAAGCACAGGTAACTACCCTAAACTAATAGAGATTTACAAAAGCCTGACAAAGAATTGAAAATACGCATCTTAGAGAAGCTCAATCAGCTACTAGAGAATACAGATAGACAACTACGTGAAGTCAGAAAACAACACATGAGCAAAATGAGAAGTTTAATATATATATACAGACACCATACTAAAGAACCAAGCAGAAATTCTAAAAGTCAACAACAGAATATCTGAACTAAAAACCTCCACAGAGAACGTCAGCAGCAGAGTTGATTAAGCAGAAGAAAGAAACAGTGAGCTTCAAACAAATCATTTGAAAATACCAAGTCACAGGAAGAAAAAAAAATAATGAAAAAGAAGGAAGAAAGCCAATAGTACCAAATGGATGCCATGGAGCAAAACAATATATGCATTATGGTGGGCAAAGAAGCATCAGAGAAAGTCGAAGGAACAGAATGTGTAATTCTGGGAGAAATAATAAAAGATAACGTCCCAAATCTGGATAGAAATGGACGTCCATAGTCATGAAGCCCATAAAACCACAAACAGATTAAATATGAAGAGATCTTCACCAAGACAAATCAGAAACAAATTCACAAAAATCCAAGGCAAAGAGAATTCTGAAAGCAGCTAGAGAAAAAGAACATACAAAGGAACCCCTGTAATACTACTGAAGGCTCAGTGGAAAACCTGCAGGCCAGGAGACAGTGGGACCATACAAAGTATAGAAAGGAAGTAAACCCTTGCCAACCAAGAATACCATACCTGGCAAGTCTGTACTTCAGAAACGAAAGAGCTGGCTTGTTGCAGCAGCTCACGCCTGTATTCATAGCACTTTGAGAAGCCAAGGTGGGAGGATCACGAGGTCAGGAGTTCGAGACCAGCCTGACCAACATGGTGAATCCCCACCTCTACTAAGAATGCAAAATTACCTGGGCATGGTGTTACATGCCTGTAATCCTAGCTACTCAGGAGGCTGAGGCAGGGGAATCGCTTGAACCTGGGAGGCAAAGGCTGCAGTGAGGTGAGATCGTACCACTGCACTCCAGCCTGGATGACAGAGACTTTGTCTCCAAAAAAAAAAAAAGAAAGAAAGAAAAAAGAAATGAAAGAGCAGTAAAGACTTTATTGGACAAAGAAAACCTCATTAGCATTTCTTGCCTTACAATCTGAAAGAAGAGAACACTAACTAGATACATGAAACCATGTAAAATATAAAAGTGTGGTTAAAGTAAGTACATGGTCAAGTTCAAAATATTCTAATACAATCAAAATTGTGTATAAATTACTTATATCATTAGTACAAAGGTTAAAAAACAAAAATATTTTTAAATGGTAGTAAAAACAATTTGTTACCAAATATGAAACACAAAAAGATGTAAATAATGATGTCAAAAACATAAAATAAGGCAGGGATGGAAAAGTGTCAAGTTTTTTTAATGTCATCAAACGTTAAGTTGTTATCAGTGCAAAATAAAGTTAAACATGAAATCAACATACAAATTCAGTAGTGTTTTTATACACTAACAAGTAACTATCTGAAAAACCCCATTTGTAATGGCCACAAGAAAATGCTTAGAAATAAGCATTTTTATTCAAGCACTTATTAAGCATTTTATTCAAGCAAGGTGGTAGCTAGGTTTCTTTCTGATTTGGTCTTAAGGTTTCTCTGTGTACAGTGACCACAAACTCTAGCTTTGCCCTGATGGGGATCCAGAGGATTTCATCATGGACGTTCACAAGAAACTTCTTTACCCCGCTGGACTATCTAATGCCTAATTAGGTATTCATCTTATAGGTGTCCCTTCCACAAGAAAATTAGTTTTTCTGGCAGATGACTCTGTGGTTCCTGTCTGACCTATGTCGTTTAAAGTTATACCTGCTCTTTAGGAGATAGTCACTCTTTAAGAGAGCCAAGATTGGGAAAGATGTTAGGTTCAGGTGTGTCAGTTAGGGAAAACAGAGAGAAAGCAACACAACAAAACACAGGAAACACAGCAGTTGTGTATTACTTACAGATTCCAGAGAGAAGAGGACAGCACACTTTGCAGCACTTAGAGGAAGTGGGAAGCCATTCAGTCCAACCACACTAACCGATGTGTGGGAGGCAAAGATAGAGAGAGAGGATCCGTGGGACTGTGCCTTTATAAAGGTCATGGGCATTATAGCACAGCCTTTCCCACAGGGATTGTGGAAGACAACACCTGCCAAGAAGGTTCACACTGCTCTGTTGTGAAACCATTAGGTTTTACTATAGTCAGCTGCTGTGGGATGTGTTGGGTTTTGGGATATGGAGATGAAGAATAAATGCGCTTTACCAAAAACAACTGAACATGGAAAGGAATTATTAATTAGACAAAAGAGGCTGTGGTATGATTGTTGTTTTTTTTTTAGAACTCCTGACCTCAGGTGATCCGCCCGCCTTGGCCTCCAAAGTGCTCGGATTACAGGCATGAGCCACCACACCCGGCCTTTTTTTTTTTTTTTTTTTTTTTTTTTTTTAATGATTGGGTTTTAAACAACTTACATCAAGCCTAAAAATGGATGTCGGTGCAGCAACTGTTTTAAATAAATTTATGATGGAGCCAAAAGATCTCAAAATTGTAAATGTTGATGAAAGAATAAATGGAAAGACAGTACATGTTCATGGGTTAGAAAATTCAATATTGTTTAATCGTCCCTAGTACAATTAAACAATACTGATCTATAGATTCAATGCAATGCCTATTAAAATTCCAGCGACATTTTCCACCAAAATAGAGAAAACAATTCTAAAATTTGTATGGAACCATAAAAGACCTCAAATAGCCAAAGTGCTCTTAAGCAAAACAAACAAAAGAACAAAGATAGAGACATCATACTACCTGACTTTAAAATATATTACAAAGGTACAGTAATAAAAACTGAATGGTCATAGTATAAGCAAAGATAAATAAACTGATGGAAATAAATAATAAACACAGATATAAATCAATGCATTTACAGTAGACTGATTGTGACAAAGATACCAAGAATACAAATGGAAAAAAGACAGTCTCTTCAATATATGATATAGAGAAAAGTAGTATTGACATACAGAAGAGTGAAATAAGACCCTTATCTCACATCGTATGTAAAAATCAACTCAAAATAAACTAAAGATTAAACATAAGTCCTGAAATTGTAAAACTACTAGAAGAAAACATAGGGAAAAATCTTCATGACATTGGTCTGGGCAATGATTTCTTGGCTATGACCCCGAAACAGGCAACAAAGCAAAGATAGGTGAGATTACAACAGACTAAAAGGTTCTGCACAAAAAAGGAAACAATGAAGAGAGTGAAGAAACAACTACAGGATGAGAGATCAACATCCAAAAGATCCAAGATTTTGGTTAATATCCAAAATACACAGAAACTCAAGCATCTCAACGGCAGGCAATCAAATAATCCAGTTAAAATGGACACAGGGGCAAGGGGGCTGAATAGATATTTCTCAAAAGGAGACATCAAAGTGGCCAATGGATACATTAAAAAGTGCTCAACATCGCTAATCAGGGAAATGCAAATCAAAACCAGAAATATCACTTCACACCTGTAAGAATGGCTCTACCAAAAGACAAAAGATAACAAGTATTGATGATGATGGGGAGGAAAGGAATGCTGGTTCACTGTGAGTGGGAATGGAAATTAGTACAGCCATCATGGAAAACAGGATGGAGGTTCCTCAAGAAACAAAAAAGAGAAAAACCATATGATCTAACAATCCCACTACTGGGTGTACATCCAACGGAAATGACATCAGTGTGTTGAAGAGATACCTTCTCTCTCATGTGCACTGGAGCATTATTTACAATGGTCAAGACAGGGAATCAACCTAAGAGTCCATCAATGGATGAAAAGGTAAAGAAAATGTGATACACAGACACAATGGGATACGATTTGGCCTTAACAAAGAAGGAAATTCTGTCATTTGTGACAGCATGGATAAACATGGAGGATACTGCACTAAATGAGACAAGCCAGGCACAAAAGACAAACACCTCACCATGTCACACATGTGGAATCTGAAAAAGTTGATCTCAAAGAGGTAGAGAGTAGAATGGTGATTACCAGGGCTGGAGTTGGATGCTGAGTCAGGGAGATGTTGGTCAAAGGATACAAAATTTCAGTTACACCGGGGGGTGGAGGGGGGGATTCAAGAGATGTCTTGTGGGACATGGTGACTACAGTTAGTAAAACAATGTGTTGTACACTCCTTCCTTCTACCCACAGGGAATATCTTCCATGGAGCAAACTGCACATACTCAGGTCCTTGATATAAATTGGGATAGTACTGTAGATAAGCCAGGTGCATATGCTTTAAATCATGTTACCTAATACAATAGACATGGTATGCAAATAAGTGCTATACTACATTGCCTTTTATCTACTTTTATTGATGTATTATCATTTTTATTGTTTTTTCCACATATTTTTGATCTGTGGTTTGTTGCAAGCACAGATACAGAACCCACAGATAAGCAGGGCTATAGAACCCACAGATAAAAAGGGCAGAGAGGGCTTATCCCAGGGCTCTGTATCCGTACAGCTGAAAATTGCTAAGAGCAGATTTTACGTATTCTTACCACAAATACATAAGTATGTGAATTAGCTGGATTTGGGCATTCCACAATGCATACATAGTTCAAAACATCATGAGGTACAGCATAAATATATACAACGTTTATCTGTCAAATAAACTGATTTTTAAAAAGAGTGCACCTGGTGGACACTCCTCCTCCTTGAGGCTGGGCCTTGGTTGCTGTGGTGTCACTGTCTCCTGGGGATCTTTGTCCTGCCGGGCAATGGTGGCAGGGGCACCTTGGCACTGTGGGAATAAAGCATAGATGGCCATGAGCAGCTTCCAGACCTCACCTCTCCCAGGCTCTGTCTCACATTCCCTTCACCCCAAGTGACAAAAGCCATCAGAGCTTAGACCTTTTTTCCAGCTCCAAACCTTCATTCTTTTGCACGTGTGTCTGTCCCCTGGCCTGTTAGGGCAACTATTTTCCATAAAGAAAAACACCTCAGTAGCCATTCCATTATAACATAAAATACCTTTACCCCAGAAAATGTGAGCAAGAAGAGTTATTTCTGTTTTTTTTAATAGAGTCTTGCTATGTTGCCCAGGCTGGAATGCAGCAGCTATTCACAAGTGTGATCAGAGTCCACCACAGCCTAGAACTTCTGGCCTCTAGTGATCCTCCTGCCTCAGTCTCCCAAGTAACTTGGGTAACAGGCACTCGCCACTGTGGTTGGCAAGAAAAGATTTTATAAGAATAAATACACACACACACACACACACACACACACAGATGAGCCCTTCAAGTAGAAACAGCATTGAATATATTTAGTTTGGTCAAGTGTTTAATTAACCAATGGGTGAATTCTCTCTCTCCCATACACACAAACATACACAGACACACACATAAACATACACATTTTTACAAATGAGGGTTATAATATATATAACCTTAAGGAAAGTCAGGATATAGCATAAAATGTTAAGTCATTAATTTCTGCCCTACAAAGGACTTTAACAAGCTGTTCCCAATAAATATCCAAGTGTCACAGAAAAAGATGAAACGATTCAGGGATTCTGGCCATGATCTCTGTGTTATAAATGACAGCTAGAAGACAATTGAAGAAATCAGAATAGAGTCTGTGTATTAGATAGTGGTAATGTGTTGATGTTAATTTCCTTGTTTGTAGAAAGTACACACGAAAAATTCAATAATAGCATTCATCATGTCAACAGCTATTATTCAAAATTTTTTTGTATACTTTTTTTAACTTTTCTTAAACTTAGATTGTTGTAAAGTACAGAATTAATTTAATTGTAACCTTAAATTCAATTACATTTCATCTAATTTTGCCTCGGAGCAAAAACAAAAAGGTTACAATAAAATCTACTTATGTTGGGCTCAGCTCAACTGCCTGGATGTAAACAAGACATAATGTAGCGTCCTTCCACATCAAGGCCTGTCAAGCAGTTGTTGACAGTGAAGCTAAGGCATGTTTCCCAAATCCTTCCTTCTCGGGTGGGACCCTTCTAGGCTCAGGCAATGTCTGTGTCTCCTTTCTCTGCTCTCACATTGTTTCTCTCTCTCATCCAACAACGGGTTTATAAGGTTTTTTTAAATCCTTTCAGAAGACCAACTTTTCATTTTGTCTATTCTTTTTTTATTATTTCTTTGAGATGGTGTCTCCCTCTGTCATCTGGTTAAAGCTCAGTGGCATCATCGGTGCTAACTACAACCTCTGCGTTTTCTGCCTCCCAGGGTCAAGTGGTCCTCCCACCTCAGTCCCCCAACTAGTGGGGACCACAGACTGGCATGTGCCCCAACACTCAGCTAATATTTGTATATTTCGTACAGCCAGGATTTCACCTTGTTGCCCAGACTGGTCTAACTCCTGACCTCAAGCATTCTGCCTGCCTGGGTCTCCCAACCAAACTACTGGGATTACAGGCGTAAGCTACCACACACAGTCCATTTTGTTAATTCTTTTTGCAGTTCGCATTCTATTTCCTTGATTTATGTTCCTTCTTGTTACTTTGTTTGGTTTAATTTCTTTTCTTTTCTTTTTTTTTTTTTTGAGACCAAGTCTCACTCTGTCACCAGGCTGGAGTGCAGTGGCATGATCTCACCTCACTGCAACCTCCACCTCCCAGGTTCAAGTGATTCTCCTGCCTCAGTGTCCCAAGTATGTGGGACTACAGGCAGGTACCACCACGCCCAGCTAATTTTTTATATTTTCAATAGGACTTGGTTTCACCATGTTGGCCAGGGCGGTCTCAGTCTCTTGACCTCATAATCCACCCGCCTCAGCCTCCCACAAATGCTGAGATTACAATTGGGAGCCACTGCGCCCGGCACGTTTGGTTTAAGTTTACACTTATATTTTATGACTGATTAATGTAGATCTTTAGGCCATAGGTTTCACATTTTTTCCTTTTTTTTACAGGTTTAATGAGACACAGTTTACATCATTAATAATGATGATTATTCATATAATTCACCCATTTAAAGTCTACATTTCCGTAGTTTTTAATATTCTCACAGCTATGCAATCATCACAATAATCAATCTCATAATATTTTCATCACTCCAAAAAGGAACTCCCCATCTCCCCAACCCCAGTTCTTCACAGGAACACTGAAAGCTGGATATTTCACCCCAGCACTGTCAGCCACTTCCCACCAGTTTTCATGTTATATTGTCCTTATTATTTATTTGGAAACATCCCCCCTTTTTATTTCCTCTCTGAACCACAGATTTTTTCTGTGTGTCGTTCAATAACCAAATTTTAGGGTTCTCTGCAGATACCCTACTGCTTTCCAGTTTACTTTCATTAAACTTAGAGATCACACTGCATGTTTCATAGCCCAGAACCTGGTCTATCTCGGCAAAAGTACCATAAGCATAGAAAGGAATGAGTGCTCAGTGGACGTTCCACTCCTCTTTAAATGTCAGGTACATCCAGGTGGTTGACGGTGTTCGTATCGCTTGCCGCCCGACTGGCGTTTTCATCTGACAGTTCTATCAAATGCAGAGCAAGGGGAGACTTAATCTCCTTTTCATTCTACTTTTGCATCATGTGTTTTCAAGCTGTATTAAAAATATGGCAAAACCCCATCTTTACTAAATATACAAAAATTAGCCAGGCATGGTGCAGGCACCTGTAATCCCAGCTACTTGGGAGGCTGAAGCAGGAGAATCGCTTGAACCTAGGAGGCGGAGGTTGCAGTGAGCCAAGATTGTACCACCGCACTATAGCCTGGGTGACAGAGCAAGACAGCATCTCAAGAAAAAAAAAATGTGCTTTTCTCCTGTGCACCTGTCTCATGTCAATTTATTTCTCAGGCCCAGCCAAAAAAAAGAAAAACAGAAAAAAAAAAAAAGCCCTTAAAGGGAACCTTAGCTTCCCTCCAGGACCCTCAATGGTGACTATAACCAAACAGCCTTAGGCCAACAATACCACATCCTGTGGCTTCCCTCCAGCATGGCCTCCCTCCAGCACGGCCTCTCTGGAGGAGGGGAGGCAAGGGTGGTGAGACCTCAGGCCTCACTAGTAGCAACATGATCCCTGCTGTCACCTCTCCCACCACACTGTGGGCTCCAGGGAGCAGGATTCACATGGGGCTCGTTTGTCCTCCCTGGCTCCAGCAGACTCCAGGCACAGGTGTTCCCAGAGTAAAGGGCTCACTATCTACTTCCTGGGTGAATCCTTTTCTCCCCAAGTCCATAAGGTGAGCTCAGTGGTGGCCTCAGCTCACCGCCTAAGGACAGGCTCCAGGCTGTGGCACAGGGAGGGGACCCCAGAGAGCCTGTGGACTCTGCTGAGGAACCATAGGAGCTCCCAGAGGGCCAAGTGCAGGGCAGAGATCTGAGGAAGCAGCTGCTCAGGGAACTCTAGCCCTGCAGAGGCACAAATATGGCTGCTATTATACAGAAGGTGAGGCCAAAAATGCTAGAGACATTGCTCCTGAACCTCATTTTCGCCACTTTTAAAATGGAAAACAACCTGCCCTCTCTCCCCGGGTCATTAGGAAAATCCACTACATGAAGATGTGCAGTCTCTGGCTGGGAGCAGGACACCAGCTGTCCAACAGCACAGGCTTGGGGCAGGGCACTGTCCCCATTGTCCCCATATCCAACCTGGAAGCTAGAGCCTCAATGCCCTGCCACTCCTGGATACAGGACACAGGACCAGAACTGGGACTGTGGCCCCTCCATAGAGGCTGCGTGAGCAGCCATCTGGGGACCATGTGGATGGAGACCCTTCCTGCTTACTCCTCAAATTGCAACCTGGGTTGGGCGCCTACCAGAAGGTCAACGGGAAGCTTGGCAGGTAAACCAGGCTGTGGCCCTGCAGTGCCATCGCCGTCCTCACTTGAAGTCTGGCTCCTCTGTTCCTCCATGGCCCCTCCCCATGGCACTCCACCCCAGTCTTCAGAAGCTTCTGCCCCAAGCTCAGGGAGCCAGTACCGAGGTGCAGGTAGGAGCAGGTGCAGCCTCTGCTGGGTGGAGGACACGTGCCCTGACGATCCAGAGTCCAGAGTGACTGACATCAGCCCTGAGGATATGATTTGTCCTCCGACACCTGCAAACACAGCCCTCTGAGGTTTACACAGGGCTGCTGAAGATTTTTATCTCCTCTTCATTTTACAGGCAGGAGCTGGGGCCACACCAGACTCACAGAGCTGGAGGGAAGCACGACAGGGCCCAGCTGTTCCCAGCCTCCATTCCCAGGAGTCCTTGACAGCCTAAGAGTCCGGGATTCTGAACCGTCGTTAACTTCTCGATTCCTACTTTGATAGAGAGAGGTGGGGTGGAAGGACCTGACCCAGAGACTGGGCTAAACCAGCACTGACAGAGCCAGGACCTGGGTTCCTACTGAGCTCAGCTTCAGGCTCATCTGATGTCATCCTGACAGCCTCAGGCCACAGACCTTATCTCCATTCACAGGCATGGCAGGCGGCAGGGACTGGCCCTAGCTGACCACGGTTTCCCAAGTGCACAGCTGGGAATTCAGTCTCCCTGCCGCCCTCCCCTGCTGTCTCATCTGGGGGTCTCCAGGTCATGTACTCCCAGTATCAAAAACCTCCTGTATCCTTGAAAATCCCTAATATCATGAAGGAATGAAAATGCATAACAATGTGATGCATCATGTTTTACTCCTCAGACTAGTAAAGAATGAAAGCTGAGGGTAGCCAGGGTGCAGGGACACAGGCACGTTTGTAGACTAGGGGTGGGTGTGTAAGCTGGGTTCAGTGGTCTATTGGAGGAAAATTTGTGAACATCTACAGAAACTTCTGAAATCACTTATCCCACAGAAGTAGAAGTAAAATTCTACTTCTAAGGCGGTGCCCAATCAGCTGGTGCACATGGACATGTGGACACACGATACATACAAGGGTATTTAGAACAACGCTGTTGGAATCAGCAAAGGCAAAGTCAGGGTGGGATCTCACCAGCTGCCCCTAGGCGGTAACAGTGAATTAAACTGTGGCTCACCCATGCGGTAAAATACAAAGCCTTGTTAAAAAGAAGATGAATCTGAATGTACTGCCATAGAACATCTAATGTGATTTGTGTTTGCTCCAAAATTTTTAAAAGCGATTGTGCATTGAAATGCATTTATGAAGGCAAGACTGACGGAGGGATGAAAGCCTCCTTTGGGACATAGAGAGCTCACATTCCCAAAACTGTGAAATTCGGGCTGCTGACCTTGTGTACAGAAGTCACCCACACATTCTCTCTTCAGGACCACTGTCCTGACACAGCCATTCCTCGAGCCGCCTCAAGGAAGGTCCACCCACTATAAACTATTTCAGAAGTCAGCTGTGTCATTATTGACGGTGAAAATTTGACCGCAACCTTGTTTTGCTCCCCTCAACCCCGCCCCACCTTCCCAGCTCTTCTTTTGTATTATATAAGGAACCTTAGAAAGTGCTGTTGGCAAAAACCTCAGTCACTCTGAAAAAGTCCTGGAAGTCTACAAACTTGTTTTATGTATGTATGTATGTATTTACTTATTTATTTATTTGAGACAGAGTCTCGCTCCGTTGCCCAGGCTGGAGTGCAAATGGTGCAGTCTCGGCTCACTGCAACTTCCACCTCCCGGATTCAAGCAATTCTCTTGCCTCAGCCTCCTGAGTAGCTGCGATTCCGGCTAATTTTTGTATTTTTTTAGTAGAGAAGGGGTTTTGTCATCTTGGACAGGCTGGTCTTGAACTCCAGACCTCCTGATCCAAAAGTGCTGTGATTACAGGCGTGAGCCACCACATCTCGGCCTCCCAAAGTGCTTGGATTTACAGGCATGAGTCACCGCACCAGGCCCATTTTATTTATAGCATGTCCTCATTGTGCACACCACTATCAATCTCAGTTTGCAAAGCCAACTACACACCATTTATGCTGAAAGAAGGCACCAGTCCTGAGTCCTGCCTGTAGGAGGCAGAAGGGACACACGGGTGGCCATGGAAGACACTGACCAGGGGCACGTTGGTTTACAGCCTCCTGCCCTTCCCCGGGCACTTTCAGAGCAGAGGAAATGAAAGCTTTTTCAGTGGGTGTTAAATCAATCCTCGATGAACATGTTTACAGTGTAAAAACCAGGTTACTGTTATTAACTAACGAAAGAGGCAACCTCTTTGTGGCTTCCTGAGGTTTCACTCAGAAATTTCCATCTTGACTCCACCCCTCGATTGATTCTGGAACTTACTACGGGGCAGCTCAGCGCGGTCCTTGCCGCAGGGGACAACCAGGGGGAGCGCGCGCAGCGCGCGCCCTGCTCTGTCGCGGCCGGGTCGCTCCAGCCCAGCCCGAGGAACCAGTTCTTGCCGGACTCCGACGACGGGTTCGTCCTGCCAGGAATGCCCAGCCGCAGGCGACCCGGGCCAGGCATCCCCGCCGCGTCCCCCTCCCCCTCTCCCCTTCCCCCGTCGCGGACCGCCCCGGGCGCGCTCTTCCCCTGCCAGGGGCAGCGGCGGGGACTCACCCGCAGCAGACCAAGGAAGAGGAAGATGACGAACAGAAGGGTCTTGGGGCCCAGAGCCATGACCAGATTCCCGACGCCGTCCTGGGTCCTGGGTCCTGGGTCGCGTCCTGCTCAAACCGTCCAGTCGGCCGGGATGCTCTGTCCGTGAAGTTCCACGAGGAGGAGGGAGAAGGTTCCTCACCACCTGAACTTTGGGTCAAAAGGCCCCAAATCACTCAGAATCCTCCGGAAATCCTCCCCGTGGTTCGTGCCCGCGGAGAACGTCCCACTCCTGCTCTGCGTGGACCCGACAGCCCGCGCCCGCTTTTATGTCTTGGGCGGGGGGCGTGGTCTCGGGAGGGGTGGGTGCCTGGACCAACCGAAACTAGTTCTGGCTGGCAGCGGTGACCCGGAAACTGTGGTTTGATTCCGGGTGGTGCCCAGGCTGTGTACAGCACAAGGGGAAGGAGGGCAGGAGCCTGCTCCCTCTCCAGGACCCCTGTCTCTCCTCTTCCTCTTTTTTTTTTTTTTTAATATATATCTATATTTTATTACACTTTAGGTTCTGTGGTACATGGTACATGTCAAGAACATGCAGGACTGTCGCACAGGTACATATACATGGCAGTGTGGTTTTCTGTCTCCATCCCCATCACCTATATCTGGCATTTCTCCCCATGTTATCCCTCCCCAACTCGCTACCCCCCACTGTCCCTCCCCTAGTGCCCCCCAACAGACCCAAGTGTGTGATGCTCACCTCCCTGTGTCCATGTGTTCTCATTGTTCAACACCTGCCTATGAGTGAGAACATGCGGTGTTTGATTTTCTGTTGTTGTGTCAGTTTGCTGAGAATGATGGCTTCCAGGTTCATCCATGTCCCTACAAAGGACACGAACTCTTCATTTTTTATGGCTGCATACTATTCCATGGTGGATATGTGCCACATTTCCCCTGTCCAGGCTATCATCGATGGGCATTTCTGTTGGTTCCAGGTCTTTGCTATTGTAAACAGTGCTGCAGTGAACATACGTTTGCATGTGTCTTTATAATAAAACCATTTATAATCCTTTGGATATATACCCAGTAATGGGATTGCTGGGTCAAATGCAATTTCTGTTTCTAGGTCCTTGAGGAATTACCACACTGTCTTCCACAATGGTTGAACTAATTTACACTCCCACCAACACTGTAAAAGTGTTCCTATTTCTCCACATCCTCTCCAGCATCTGTTGTCTCCAGATTTTTTAATGATGGCCATTCTAACTATCGTGAGATGGTATCTCAATGTAGTTTGATTTGCATTTCTCTAATGAGCAGTGATGATGAGCATTTTTTCATGTTTGTTGGCCTCATATATGTCTTCTTTTGAAAAGCGTCTGTTCATATCCTTTGCCCACTTTTGAATGGCTTTGTTTTTTTCTTATAAATCTGTTTTAGTTCTTTGTAGATTGTGGATATAAGTCCTTCATCAGATGGGTAGATTGCAAAAAAATTTTTCCCATTCTGTTGTTTGCTAGTTCACTCTAATGATTATTTCTTTTGCTCTGCAGAAGCTCTGGAGTTTAATTAGATCCCATTTGTCTATTTTGGCTTTTGTTGCCATTGCTTTTGGTGTTTTAGTCGTGAAGTTCTTGCCTATGCCTATGTCCTAAATGGCTTTGCGTAGGTTTTCTTTTAGGGTTTTTATGGTGTTCAGTCTTATATTTAAGTCTTTAATCCATCTGGAGCTAATTTTAGTGTAAGGTGTCAGGGAGGGGTCCAGTTTCTGCTTTCTGCACATGACTAGCCAGTTTTCCCAACACCATTTATTAAACACGGAATCCTTTCCCCACTGCTTGTTTTTGTCAGGTTTGTCAAAGATCAGATGGTTGTAGATGTGTGGCGTTGCTTCTGAGGCCTCTGTTCTGTTCCATTGGTCTATATCTCCGTTTTGGTGATACCATGCTGTTTTGATTACTGTAGCCTTGTAGTATAATTTGAGGTCAGGTAGCGTGATGCCTCCAGCTTTGTTCTTTTTGCTTAGAATTGATTTGTCTATATGGGCTGTCTTTTGGTTCCATATGAAGTTTAAGGTAGTTTTTTTCTAGTTCTGTGAAGAGGGTCATAGGTAGCTTGATGGGTATAGCATTGAATCTATAAATTACTTTGGGCAGTATGGCCGTTTTCACAATACTGATTCTTCCTAACCATGAGTATGGAATGTTTTTCCATCTGTTTGTGTCCTCTTTTATTTCTTTGGGCAGTGGTTTGTAGTTCTCCTTGAAGAGGTCCTTTACATCCTTTGTTAGTTGTATTCCTAGGTATTTATTCTTTTTGTAGCAATTGTGAATGGCAGTTCCTTCTTGATTTGGCTCTCTTTAAGTCTGTTATTGGTGTATAGAAATGCTTGTGATTTTTGCACATCGATTTTGTATTCTAAGACTTTGCTGAAGTTGCTTATCTGTTTCAGGAGATTTGGGGCTGAGACGATGGGGTCTTCTAAATATACAATCATGTCGTCTGCAAATAGAGACAATTTGACCTCCTCCTTTCCTAATGGAATACCCTCTATTTCTTTTTCTTGCCTGGTTGCTCTGGCTAGAACTTCCAGTACTATATTGAATAGGAGTGGTGAGAGAGGGCATCCTTGTCTAGTGCCAGATTTCAAAGGGAATGCTTCCAGTCTTTTTCCCATTTGGTATGATATTGGCTGTGGGTTTGTTGTAAATGGTTTTTATTATTTTGAGATACTTTGTGTCGATACCTAGTTTATTGAGAGTTTTTAGCATAAAGGGCTGTTGAATTTTGTCAAAGGCCTTCTCTGCATCTACTGAGATAATCGTGTGGTTTTTGTCTTCGGTTCTGTTTACGTGGTGGATTATGTTTATAGACTTGTGTATGTTGAACTAGCCTTGCATCCCCAGGATGAAGCCTACTTGATCATGATGGATAAGTTTTTTGATGTGCTGTTGCAATTGGTTTGCCAGTACTTTATTGAAGATTTTTCCATGTATGTTCATCATGGATATTGGCCTGAAGTTTTCTTTTCTTATTGAGTCTCTGCCGGGTTTTGGTATCAGGATGATGTTGGTCTCATAAAATTATTTGGGAAGGACTCCCCTCTTTTTGGATTGTTTGGCATAGTTTCAGAAGGATTGGTACCAGCTCCTCTTTCTATGTCTGGTAGAATTCAGCTGTGAACCCATCTGGACCTGGGCTTTTTTTTGGTTGATAGGCTATTAATTGCTGCCTCAACTTCAACCCTTGTTGCTGGTCTAATCAGGGTTTTTACTTCTTCTAGGTTTAGATTTGGGAGGATGCAAGTGTCCAGGGATTTATCCATTTCTTCAAGTTTACTGGTTTATGTGCATAGAGTTGTTTGTGGTCATCTCTGATGGTGGTTTGTATTTCTGTGGAATATGTGGTGACATACCCTTTATCATTTTATTGCATCTACTTGATTATTCTCTCTTCTTTTTTATTAATCTGGCTAGTGGTCTATTTTGTTGATCTTTTCAAAAAACCAGCTCCTGGATTTATTGATTATTTGAAGGTTTTTTTTGTGTCTCTATCTCCTTAAGTTCTGCTCTGATCTTAGTTATTTCTTGTCTTCTGCTAGCTTTTGAGTTTTTGTGATCTTGCTCCTCTAGCTCTTTCACTTTGGATGATAGGATGTCAATTTTATATCTTTCTTTGCTTCTCATATGGGCATTTATTGCTATAAAATTTCCTCTAGACACTGCTTTAAATGTGTCCCAGAGATTCTGGTATGTTGTGTCTTTCTTCTTGTTAGTTTCGAAGAACATCTTTATTTCTGCCTTCATTTCATTGTTTATCCAGTCAACATTCAAGAGTTGGTGGTGCAGTTTCCATGAAGTTGTGCAGTTCTGAGTTAGTTTCTGGATTCTGAATTCTAATTTGATTGCACTGTGGTCTGAGAGACAGTTTGTTATAATTTCCATTCTTTTGCAATTGCTGAGGAGTGGTTTACTTCCAATTAGGTAGTCAATTTTAGAGTAGGTGTGATGTGGTGCTGAGAAGAATGTATATTCTGTGGATTTGGGGTGGAGAGTTCTGTAAATGTCTATTAGGTTTGCTTGGTCCAGGTTTAAGTCCTAGATATCCTTGTTAATTTCTGTCTCCTTGACAGTGGAGTGTTAAAGTCTCCCACTATTGTTGTGTGGGAGTCTAAGTCACTTTGTAGGTCATTAAGAACTTGTTTTATGTATTGGGTGCATATATATTTAGGCTTGTTAGCTTTTCTTGTTGCATTGATCCTTTTACCATTATGTAATGCCCTTCTTTGTCTCTTTTGATCTTTGTTGGTTTAAAGTCTATTTTGTCAGAGACTAGGCTTGCAACTCCTGCTTTTTTTTTTCTCTCTCTCCATTTGCTCGGTAAGCCTCCATCCCTTTATTATGAGCCTATGTGTATTCTTGCATGTGAGATGGGTTTACTGGATACAGCACACCGATGGGTTTTGACTTTTTATCCAATTAGCCAGTCTGTGTCTTTTGATTGGGGCATTTAGCCCGTTTACATTTACAGTTAATATCGTTATGTGTGAATTTGATCCTGCCATTTTGATGCTTTCTAGTTGTTTTGCCCATTAGTTGACGCAGTTTCTTCATTGTGTCTATGTTCTTTACCATTTGGTACATTTTTTAGTGGCTGGTGCTGGTTGTTCCTTTCCTTGTTTAGTGCTTCTTTCAGGAGCTCTTGTAAGGCAGGCCTGGTGGTGTTGAAATCTCTCAGCAATTGCTTGTTCATAAAATATATTATTTCTCCTTCACTTATGAAGCTTAGTTTGGCTGGATATGAAATTTGGATTTGCAAGTTCTTTTCTTTAAGAATGTTGAATATTGGTCCCCACTCTCTTCTGACTTGTAGGGTTTCTGCTGAGAGATCCACTGTGAGTCTGATGGGCTTCCCTTTGTGAATAACCTGACCTTTCTCTCTGGCTTCCCTTAGCATTTTTTTCTTCATTTCAACCCTAGTGAATCTGACGATTATGTGCCTTGGGTTTGCTCTGCATGAGGAATATCTTTTTGGTGTTCTGTATATTTCCTGGACTTGAACATGGACCTGCCTTGCTAGGTTGGGGAAGTTCTCCTGCATAATATCCTGAAGAGTGTTTTCCAGCTTGGATTGATTCTCTCTGTTACATTCAGGTACACCTATCAAACGTAGATGAGGTCTTTTCACAAAATCCCATATTTCTTGGAGGCTTTCTTCATTTCTTTTTACTCTTTTTTCTCTAACCTTGCCTTCTTGTTTTATTTCATTGAGTTGATCTTCAATCTCTGATATCCTTTCTTCTACTTGGTTGATTCATCTATTGAAACTTGTGTATGCATGGCAAAGTTCTCCTGTTGTGTTTTTCAGCTCCATCAATTCATTTATATTCCTCTCTAAGCTGTTTATTCTTGTTAGCATTTCATGAAACCTTTTTTCAAGGTTCTTAGTTTCTTTGCATTAGGTTAGAACATGTTCTTTTAGCTCAGAGAAGTTTGTTATTACCCACCTTCTGAAGCCTGTTTCTGTCAATTCATTGGACTCATTCTCCATCCAGCTTTGTTCTCTTGCTGGTGAGGAGTTGTGATCCCTTGTAGGAGGAGAGGCATTCTGGTTTTGGGTGTTTTCATCCTTTTTGCACTGGTTTCTTCCTATCTTTGTGGATTTATCTACCTGTGATCTTTGTAGTTGGTGACTTTCAGATGGGGTCTGAATGGGCATCCTGTTTGTTGATGATGAAGTTATTTCTTTCTGTTTCTTAGTTTTCCTTCTAACAGTCAGGCCCCTCTGCTGGAGGACTGCTGGAGGTCCACTCCAGACCCTGTTTGCTTGGGGATCACCTGCAGCAGCTACAGAACAGTAATGGTTGCTGCCAGTTTCTTCTTCTGTTATCTTTGTCTCAGAGGATACCTGCCAGATGTCAGGCTGTTCTCTCCTTTATGAGGTGTCTCTTTGGACATGTGGGGGTTAGGGAGTTGCTTGAGGAGACAGTCTGTCCCTTATAGGAGCTCAAGTACTGAGTTGTGAGCTCCATTGTTCCATTCAGAGCTGCTGGGCAGGTAAGTTTAAGTCTGCTGCAGTGGAACCCATAATGACCTTTTTTTCCCAGGTGCTCTGTCCCAAGAAGGTGGGGCTTTATTTATTAGTTCCTGACATGCTGCTTCCTTTTTTCAGAGATGCCCTGCCCAGCGAGGAGGTAGCCTAGTCACAGTCTGCCAGCAGAGGTGTTGCTGAGCTACCATGGGCTCTGCTCAGCTGCTGTGTGAACTTCCTTGCAGTTTTGCTTATAGAGGTATAGTTAGAACTGCCTCTACTGAGGCGGTCTTCCTCAGTAATGGCACACTCTCTCTGTAATGGTGGACTGCCTTGGTAATGGTAGATTGCCTGGGTAATGGCAGACTGCCTCAGTAATGGCGGACTGCCTTGGTAGTGGTGAACTGCCTTGGTAATGATGGACACCCTTCCCTCCACAGAGCTGGACCATCCCAGGTCCAGGTGTGCTTGCCGTGAAACTCTCAATCCAGAACGTTTCAGATTGCTGATCTTTGTGACGGTGGGATCATCCAAGCCAGATCACCTGGCTCCCTGTTTCAGCCTCCTATTTTTCAGTTGAATGGACAACTGTGTCTCCCAGGCATTCCAGTTGCCAATTGAAATGGTGCCCGGATTTTTGTGAGTTTTTGTGCAGAGACCTTCTGCACTGGCTGAAACAGCCATGCTGGACACTCATGGTGCTTTTCCACCCAGGAATCTCCTGGTCTGTGGGCAGTAAAAATTTGTTTGGAAATGCGGTGATCACTCACCCTCTGCATTTTCACTGGGAACTACAATCCAGAGCTGTTCCTATTCAGCCATCTTGGATCATCTTCCATCTCTCCTCTTAAACCCTGTACTCCCTCCTGGCCTAAGCACATCAGTCCAGGTAGATGCTGCTCCCACTCCCTCCTCCCACAGCGGCCTCACTGACCACTGTGCTCCTGCTGCTGCCTCCAGCCCTCTTGCTGCTCCCACCCAGTTCCAAGCTTCTCTGGCAGGGGCTTGGCACCCCTCAGTAGCAGATGCCTGGCACCAAAGAGGGGCCCAGTGAACCCATGAGTGGGCAGAATGAAGGACACACAAGTCATGACAGGCACCTGCAGAGGCTGAGAAGTAGGCAGGAGGGAGAGGAACCCCGGGGCATCCCTAGCCACAGACTGGCACCCATTGCGTGGTCAAAGCACAGACACTCCCAGATCGACCTTGAGGGCTCTAGTATAGGGGCAGGGGAACCAGGGCAGTGGCTTCCACAGCCTGTTTCCAAGTCTAGTGTCTACCTAGGTTCAACTCTCTGATCTTGGGCTACTGACCTCCCCATCGAGTTAGCCATATTGCTGCTGTGAGAACAGACCCAAGGTGTGGTAGTGAAGGGTGCCAGCTTGTGACCCTAGGCAGTAAGGTCAGTGACCCTCCTAGACCCTTGGGGTGAGTAGTCTCCTGATCCCGCATATGGTGATAAAAGAAGGTCACACTATAGAAACAAAGGAGGTTTTTTGGCTCACCAGAAATCTGGGAATAAAATGCCATCCTCTCCACAGGCTTGGATTTGATCGATCAAGCACCCTGGGCACCTGCCAGGCCCAGTTAGGATCAGAAATGTGTGCCAGGCCCCAGACACTGAGTTAGGACCAGAAATGTGTACCAGGCCGCAGGCACTGAGGAATGTGTGTGGTCAGGAATGTGTGCTGGTGCAGATCCAGGCATGGGGTGAGAGGACAAGGGCTTCAGGAAGACTGACAGCATTAACCAGAGCCACCAGGGCCTACAGGAAGGTCTTCAGAGCAGCTCAGGCCCCTTGGCCCTGGAGGGTGGAGCACACAGTGTAGACTAGAAACCAGAGGGCAGGTAACGACACATTCTCTGTGCCCTACGTGGAGCACTGACTATAGCTAAAAACCTCTAAACTTCTCTTCTGTCTTTGGGCACACCAAAGACAACTTGGTGTTTTTGTATGCCAAGAATTTCAACCTTGCCTTCCAAATAAAGCGTATTAAATTTGGATAGTCATCTCTACATATTCCATTGTTTCCAAGATCAATGGAAAACTGGCCTATTGAAAGGATGTCCATATGGGGCCTGACCCTATGGAAATCTCTAGGGGGACTTGAGGACTGCATTAAAGTAGGGCACGCCCATGCCGGTCAGTAGAACCAGCCTCAGGTGTGGAAAGTGACTGTAATCAGCAAGACACACCCCTGTGTACTCCCTTGAGGTGGTCAACAGAAGCCACAAAGTAAAATAAGTTGATATGGGGAACCACAGCGATGCAGAGAGAGGCTGAATCTCAACATGTTCCTCTTGCTCCCTCTCAGGAACATAATGTCAATAAGAGCTGTTCTGTCTGTGAGCAGGAGAGACACAGGCTGCCTATGACTATGCGGCAGATTCCCTGATGGGGACGCCCTGCACATACTTGGAAAGTGAAATTGGGGCAGTTCCACTGGGGCAGTTCCACTGGGGCCTACAGATGAGACTCGACAGGAACAGAAACTGATCGTGGATTGTCTTTTTTTTCTTTCTTTCTTTCTTTTTTTGAGACAGAGTCTCATTCTGTTGCCAGGCCCCAGGCTGGAGTGCAGTGGTGCCATCTCCGCTCACTGCAATCTCCGCCTCCTGGGTTCAAGCAATTCTCGTGCCTCAGCCTCCCAAGCAGCTGCGACTACAGACGCGCACCACCACACCCAGCTAATTTTTTATATTTTAGTAGAGACGGGGTTTCACTACGTTGGCCAGGATGGTCTTGATCTCTTGACCTCATGATCCACCCGCCTCAGCCTCCCAAAGTGCTGGGATTACAGGCATGAGCCACCCCACCGGGGTGGCCGGATTGTCTTTTGGTTACTTAGTGGAGGCTGCAAATGCCTTAGACTGCTAGTAATAGAAAAGAACTGAAACAAGGTATTATTCTAGTTCGGACCACCAAGCCACACATCTGTGGACCAAGAAACATGCTGCAGATGAGTGCAGAATGTTTAGCAATGGACTGAGAGGTATCCTCCTTAGAGTAATAATTTGATAAGGAAGCAGAAGAGTCAACCAAAACATTGATTGTCTAAAATGGGGGGAGACAAAGGCATGCAGGGCTGGCTTCCACTCATTCACCAGTGCGTGCCCCACTTCACACAAGTGGAGCTAAAGGAGTGTCTCTGCTGGACTTTCCTGCATTTTCCAGTGGATCTGGGGATGCGAGAGTGGGGAGGATGCCAGTATAATGACTGTCATTTTGGTGGTGGTGTTGGATTTTTTTTGCGACACAGTCTGTCTCTGTGCCCAGGCTGGAGTGCAATGGCACGATCTCAGCTCACTGCAATCTCTGCCTCCTGGGTTCAAGTGATTTCCCCTGCCTCAGCCTGTGGAGTAGGTGGGACTCAAATCCCCCCACTACCACACCAAGGTAATTTTTGGATTTTTAGCAGAGACAGAGTTTCATCAGGTTGGTCAGGCTGGTCTCAAACTCCTGACACCAAGTGATCTACCCTACCTTGACCTCCCCTAAATGCTGGGATTATACGCGTGAGCCACCATGCCAGGCCAATGATTGTAATTTTTGTCTTTCTTCCCCACTTACATCAACTATCCCCTCTTCCCACTCGACGCCTGGTGCAGTAGCCACAGGACCAGGGGTACAACTATAAAAGCTGGAAGCTGTGATGATGCCTAAGCCAAAAACTGAGACAATGTGTTGAAACTTTTCTGTCAGTTTTCTTATGGACCTTATGGGTGTGGGTTGTGCCTTGCCACACCTGGCAAAATAGAAGCTAACAGTATATGCAGCTATATTGCCTGATATGGTTTGGAGATGTGTCCCCTCCAGCAAGTGTGGGACACTGTATTAGTCCTTTGTCACACTGCTATAAAGAATGACCTGAGCCTGGGTAATTTATAAAGAAAAGAGGTTTAATTGACTCACAGTTCCACATGGCTGGGGAGGCCTCACGAAACTTACAGTCATGGAGGAAGGCGATGGGGAAGCAGGCACCTTCCTCACAAGGTGGCAGGAGGGAGAGAACAGAGTGAAGGAGGAACTGATAAACCTTTAAAACTACCAGATGTCGGGAGAACTTACTCGCTGTCAGGAGAACAGCCTGAGGAAACCACCCCCATAATCCAGTCACCACCACCCAGTTCCCTCCCTTTTCATGTGGTGATTACAAGTCGAGATGAGATTTGGGTGGGGACACAGAGTCAAACCATGTTAAACCACCAACTTGCCCCTAAATAGGGGGGAGTCTTGTGGGACTGACTTTTTAACCTGCGGGGTTGGCCCGACCTCTGACTAGCGTCAGGAGTGGATTGATTTATGGGATACTCATGTGAGGTGGGAGAATTGGTCAAAGTGGGAAAAACCCACACACCTGTTCACAGAAGTATATTGAACTGTTAACATATTGATCAGTATACGCTGAGCCCAGTAGCTCAGGCTTGTAATCCCAAGACTTTGGAGGCCAAGGTGGGCAAATCACAAGGTCAGGAGATCCAGACCATCCTGGCTAACACAGTGAAATCCCATCTCTAATAAAAATACAAAAAATTAGCTGGGCATGGTGGCACATGCCTGTAATCTCCGCTACTTGGGAGGCTGAGGTAGAAGAATAGCTTGAACCTGGGAGGCGGAGGTTGCAGTGAGCCGAGATCACACCACTGCACTCCATCCTGGGCCACAGAGAAAAACTCCGTCCCAATAAATAAATAATAAATATTGATCAGTGCAATTTCTTAATATTTTCTAAGCTAGAACTTTGCCTTTTTGTGTGCGCCTAAAGCACTCAGGGTTCTCAGCAGCAGGGCTGGTACCTCATGTTTCTTAGATCTGTTAATGAGTGGGACCAGTGTTGCTCAGGTGATCAGGCCAACATCAGATGGGTCCGGGCATACTTTTCCTAACACATCCTCTACTGGTTTCCAGGGGTCAGTAGCTGTCAACGTGTGTTCTGGTGTTAATTTCTTTAAATGTTTCATGAAGACCTCGAAACAAATTAAATATAATCTTTAAATGTTGTTTTCTCCCCTGGGCGTGGTGCTGCACGCCCGTCATCCCAGCACTTTGGGAGGCCAAGTACAGGAGTTTGAGACCAGCCTGCCTAACATGATAAAACCCCATCTCCACTAAAAATACAAAAATTAGCCAGACAGGGTGGCACATACCTGTAATCCCAGCTACTCAGGAGGCTGAGGCAGGAGAATCGCTTGAACCCGGGAGGCGGAGGTTACAGTGAGCCCAGATCCCACCATTGCACTCCAGCCTGGGCAACACAGTGGCTCAAGCCTGTAATCCCAGCACTGCGAGAGGCCGAGGCGGGTGGATCACGAGGTCAAGAGATCGAGACCATCCTGGTCAACATGGTGAAACCCCATCTCTACTAAAAATACAAAAAGTTATCTGGGCATGGTGGCGCATGCCTGTAATCCCAGCTACTCAGGAGGCTGAGGCAGGAGAATTGCCTGAACCCAGGAGGCGGAGGTTGCGGTGAGCCGAGATGGTGCCATTGCACTCCAGCCTGGGTAACAAGAGTGAAACTCCATCTCAAAAAAAAAAACAAACCCATCACATTCACAAATACCAGAGTGTAGGGATTCAAAAGAAGCTTTAGGGTAAAAAATTCAAACCACTAAACATACAAAGTAAATACGGTTCATGTAAAGAAAAAAAAATTGACAGATACCTGGGGAAGCTCAAACATTGGGCTTATTTGGCAAATGCTTTCAATCAACCATTGTGCTGGGGTTTTTGTTTTTCTGACAGAGTCTTGCTCTGTGGTTCAGGCTAAAATGAAGTGGCACCATCTGGCCTCACTGCAACCTCCAACTCCAGGGCTCAAGCAATTCTAGTGCCTCAGCCTCCCGAGCAGCTGGGATTACAAGCATGCAGCACAATGCCTGGCTAATTTTTGTATTTTTAGACGAGACCGAGTTTCACCATGTTGGCCAGGCTGATCTCAAACTCCTGACTTCAAGTGATCTGCCCAACTCCACCTCCCAAAGTGATACATTTATGGGCATGAGCTAACACCTTGCCTGAATCAATAGTTTTAAACATGCTCAAATATCTAAAGGCACTGTGTGTGTGTGTGTGTGCGCGTGCGCGCGC